CGATGAAAAGTTTCGCAAGCGGGACTTGGCTTTTCCAACCCATCAAGCTTAATGTACCGGTAGTGGTTCGGCTTCCTTGAATGCGGTGTGAAAGAATGGAGCATTCAGGAGGCTTGCCTCAAATCGAAGCGGAGGGCTTAAACGCTTGGTCGCGAGCCTATCAAGTTTTTGACTATCTTCGCGGTGCTTGTCGGTGTGGTGTGGCCCGCAACTGTCTGGCACTTGATCTTTTAAACCAACTCGAGCAAAACAACAGTCAGCTGCTGGCATCATAGACAATATCCATCTGATTATCGAACGCGGATAGAGTCGAACGCATAGCACTGGAACATGGACAGTTCTTTCGCAATCGGGCCACGCCATATGTTCGCATGCTTGTGCGTGTTGCCTCCCGCTTCTGTTTTGCAGTACACATCCTATAGCACGCTAACGCAGCGGTGGTGTGCTATAAGAATCGATCTGATCCAGGTTGTGCTTCCAAATCGACAGGGTAGACCAAGCATAATGCGGGTGAACAATGGATCACCAGGAACAACGGTCTTACGTTGCTATTCGAATTGAGACAAAGCCCCGAGGGTTCCAGCCTTTGAAGGTTGAGGTAGCACCGAGTCACCTGTAGCCAAACGAAAGTGGTAAGTACGACAGGCGAGAAGCGGTTCTGTTTCTACGCGTCGACCGATACGTACCGCATTCTAGCGCCACCTAGCATAGGTTAGCGAAGAATACGAAGATAGCTCCAACTTCGTAGAGAATCCGGGTTCTGGTGCTACAATATCTGTGCGATGATCATTCGAGTCAGCTGTTCGAATTTGCCTCGCCAAGTCTTTCCTATGCCTAGGTGGGGATTGAGCATGCTTAGCATAGGTCAACCCATAATTGAGGCCGCTTGATTGTAATAGCCGTCATACTTCCATCTAGCGTCGATGGTGCTACGCCTTACTAAACAGCCAGGTAATATCAAGGAACCTTCGCGAGGTCTGTTGAAATACATAGAGATGGCGTAAGCTATGAACACGTAGGCCCGCATCGCGAGTTAGACGGTTTTACGCCTCGACCAGGTTAATCGCATAACGCCAGTCGAGACGGCTCAAGGTATTTTAGCGAATTCTGGGGTTGCCCTTGATGATCATAAGATGCCGCATAAGAGTGTAGGATCCTATAGAATCGGCCCTGTCCGCGAGATGTCGGCAACAGTCCACAGCAACTCCGCGTCATGCTCTCCACAGAGGTGGGAACGGATGATGAAAAGTGTTGTGGTGCTGGCATGGCCCCACTATCAATCCCGACATTGTACTTGAGATGGCAGTCGTACGTGAACGATCCAAGTACGGGTTTAGCTAGCGAGGAATTGATGCGTAAAAAAGAAGTCCAATAGTGGTCAAAAGCAGCGCGCCCAGTCACACAGGGCTTCCATACTCTTTCCCGGTTCAGCTGATCCAGGCACCAGAGTGATTGGTACCGAACATTCTAAGCAAGCGGATACGCAGAGCGCCATTCGGCTTCTGCCACATGTACCGGTACTTGCGGTTACACGAAGCACGGCTAATCGAAAATCGTGGTTCTTCATCTATAGTTTCGAGATCGATTGAGGGGCATCACCTAATGCGGTGAATACGGAGGGACCAGAGTTGCGCAGGGTCTGTCCTAGCAACAGGCAGCTGCATGTAAAGCCTAGAGTGCGCCATACCGTTGCTAGATGCGCAAACTACCCGGGGTAATGCTATCGGCTTCCGGCTGTGGTAGTATATGCCCCGTCTGGGGGTTTCGTTGCAGTCTTAGAAGCTTTCCCCTATGCTATGTATCTCCGCGTTCCGGTACTGCAGCTCCGAATTTAGGCGGTTTTAGCTCCAAACCCATTAAGACACGAGCCGCTTATGGGATGGAATAAATGGCTGGAGCGACGAATAGGTCAGCTGCTCCGCTGAGACCTTGGGTATATGTGATACGCAACCTCGGGAAGCTATAACAGTCACATGCAGTGGACAGTACTGCACAGACTGCCATGGGCAGGAAGCTGAACTGTTATCGACCACCTAAACCGTTGACACACAGAACATGCATCCAGCATCGTGTACACCTTAGCGTCAACGGAGGCGGGCCAGAAGCACCAGGGCGCTGATGGATAACTTTCAGTTCCTTCGCTCGCTAGCGTGAGACAGATCGTCTAGCAACCGATGTTATCGCGCGATCCTGCCGGAGCTGCTGGGGGAACATGCGCATTCTATCGAAGGGCGCAGCCTTTGCAGGATTTGATGCGATCAGATTTCAAGGACTCGTGTGTCAGTGTAAAGTGTGAAAGGTCGTAATTCCTTCATTCATGGCAGCTCTTCAAATCAGAGCTGCCCGAGTGATTGTAGCATCCTCTTTCTACTTTAAAAATGTTGTCAGAGTCGGAGAGTGGTGATGACCGAGTCCGGTGGAGTCCGACGTTGCTTACCCCGGCGTTCGTGAGCATTGCGTTCGAGGCTGAGGACGTCCGTTGTGCCAATGGGAGAAGTTGTTCGATTTTCTTGTTTTCCAAAGCTTTTTCCGTTGTGATCATTCCTATTCCGTTTCCGACATATCCTGTTGTTGCTCTGCCAGTCGTGGAACGCTCTAGCTGCCCAGTCATAAGGACAAACCCATAATATCGTGAATCGATGACACAGACAGTGATCAGATTTGTGTATGTTCTAAGAACGTGATGGAAAGTCGTGGCTGAACGTGTCGAGGAGACAGACGAAGATGAGGTGGCTGCGAGCATGCAAAGCTCAATCAAAACAGATGAACTTCTATCGGGCCGAGCCACACCATCCGTCCTTGTCGGCATTCAAGGAAAACGCGTATTTCCTGCTGTTGTACCATAGCCTGCGAGTCATTCACTCTCTTTCTGGTCGTTGTTCATTCATTGTCGCGTTGTCCCTCGGTTGCGCCACAGTCTTCCGGATTCTGAACGCCAGCAGCTTATTGCCAGATTCTGGAAAGACCCTACGCATAACTGTGTGCCTCGATGATCGTGTCGTCTTAACGAGGCGATACAATCTTGGAGAGGGCGGCAACTTTGCCTCGACTCCCGTCGATTCGTCAATTCTTAGGGGCCGATTCCAACATCAGGCGAACCGCACAACGACGAAGCGATGCCTACACGACCTTCCCTGATCTCCAAATCAGATTTTCAGCACACTTGAAGCGACTCTTCTTCGAAAATTCCCGCGTTTTGGCGCCGCTTATGACCGCCGTCCAAGGACCCGACACGTTCCGACCATACCGTGCTTCGTGGCATAGCGTTCGAGTAGCAAGAGAATAGTTCCAGGCGGCGCTGCAATGGTGACGGAGTGTACGTGATGTTCCCGGGTCTCGGAAGAGTATGAATCGTTGAGGTTTGACGCTACTTGTAGGTACGATGCCGTCGACAACTAGCGCGCGTGCTCTCCGCATTTCCACCTGGGTTCACCGAGCCCGCGAAAAAGTCGCAGATAGCGCACTAACTATTTCTTCTTATAACTAACTAAAGTATGTTAAGTAGAACTTACCGAAGTACGTTGGGTCACCCTAGGCTAGTCTGTGGTTTTTTCGAGGGCGTGAGAGCTGGGTTCACCCAGCCCGCGAGCACAACCTCGGGACCATTTCCCTCTAAGGCATATCTGCATCGCTTTGGCTGAGGACCTCGAACCGTATTCCTCAACTAACGGCGCACTAATAAGACGAGAAAGCCGTGGGCGAGGTCGTCTTTCGAATGTACGAGAGTGAATAGGGTGATATTCAGTGGCCCTGGTTGGGGAGCTGTTTTCGAGGGCCGTCGAGCGTCAATTCGAATGCGCAATTCCGTTGTTGTGTTGTTCTCGCCCGACTTTGCCACTGCCCTTCTTTCGGAGCCATCACGCCGACGACCACCACCTCTTACACTCATGGAAAATTCCACCGTTGACCAAAATTTTCGATCAAAATAGCAGGCGCACACATCTTAAACATCCTCACTCGTGTGCCTCCTTGCATTGCCCCGTTGTGGCTTGCAGCAATGCAGCACACGACTGCTGTTCTTCCACGAATCAGCACCGACCGAATGCGAATGCTCCGGGACACAGGCCTGTTTGGTGGGCAAGACACGCACGAAATCTTTCTAGAAAGATAATCGGAAAATTTACAGCCAGTTAAATATCCCGGGGTCGATGGGAAGTTCTACCATAGGTATCCACATGAAGAGCAGGGTAGATCAGTTCCCCGCATAGTGACAGACAAACGCTTGATCAGAATGATCATTTCACGTAATCAACCACCTCGCACTCGCGAGCGCGTTCTAGGCAGCTTCCCGACGTGCCTAGTCGTGTAGGTACAAGGTCAGGTAAGATAGTTTTATTTGGCATTGCCTTAGTCCTGTGTGTTACCCAGGGTAAGTAAAACAGTGTCTGACTTACACCTACTTTGTACCTAGCTGTCTAGTGCGGCATTTGGTCCCACATCTTGGTAAGAGATAGCCAGGCGCCTGAGCGAATCGCCCAGTGATTATAGTGCAACCCATAGATTAAATTAGGCATACACAGTCGCGAGCTATCTCCTCACCTAGAGATGAAGACGCTCGAACACAGCAGCTAATCTTAATTATATACCTCAATTCAGTCAAACAGTTCACACAGATTAAAGATGGGTCTATCACTTCCTGCGCTATCAATTTCCTACTTGCAATAGCAATTATCATTGTAAGATAAAGCAAAAAGCTCTGGCGGACTGCGTTAAATAGGCGTAGTTTTTAGTCGAGTCGTTACCACGATACTTTCTAGACTGCGCAGGCAGCGTAATCAAGCTATAGAATAGTATACCGAGTGACCCTGGGAACCATTCGCAACAACGACAATAGATTTACGCCACAATCCTAATAATTGAAGATGTTAATGTCTATTAAAATAAAGAAAATAGTTCTAAGGTGCACAAACTCATGCAGCCACGGTATAAAAACATGTCCTCTCCGTCTCTCTAAGAGAGCAAAAAGGATTCCCGAAACCCACTCTAGGAGTGGACGATTTTGATGAGAGTGGGACTCGAACCCACGCCACGAAACGTGACCAGGAAATATGTTAAGAAGCGAGTTTGCTGTAGGCAAATGCCCGCAGAACCTTAACCTGGCGCCATAACCAACTCGGCCATCTCACCATATGTTTGATGACAAAGACTCTGAAATTTATGTATCTATAGGACGTTATGCGAGTTGTTTCAATGTAGCACACACATGGCGGGCATGTTGTGGCCCGCGGCATTGGAAAATCTTATTGGAGCAAGTGTGGTGGAGCTAGTTCGCGCTAGTACTATGCAGGGACTAGAAAGTTCCCTGCCGAGATTCCACATCGTCAGTTGAACTCAGTAACGAACACCAACGAAACATTCCCCGATACCGGTGGAAATCGTGACAAAAATACTCCGAAAGAGTCCTAGGACCTATAGAAATGTACCAGAAGTTGCGAAGTGGTCTTCCCAGGTTCGACGCACAGAACGACAAGGCGTTATGTTCTCCAAAAAAGCCCCAACGCCCAGCACATTTCACGTACGGAGACACGACAGAGGCTTTGCCGGACTCTATGATACTTCACAAGACACTAAATCGAGCGCTTCAATACTTAAAATTCACGAATGGCCTCGAGCATGCCGATATTTTGATCAGCGGCTCATGGACACAGCTTTCATCGGCAAACTCCTCACAGCGGACACATCTTATCACGACGCCCGAGTGCCTTGGCTTCTTGACTACACGTACATTGCGCAAGACGGGTGTGCCGTACAGTCCAGCGCACAATTTTCTAACGATCACGATGCTGGTATTTTCGGGCAGTGCGTGCTTACGTCTTCATTGAGCGTGATACATATGCAACAGAAACGACTGTACTTGGATCGGGACACTGTCAGTGCCACTCCAATTGACAGCGATACTTGGCTGGAAATCTTGCACAACTTTGAGGTTCTGCCGAGCTTCTTGGAGCTCCTACACAGCAACAATGGCGGCACTCTGAGTTGGACGTCATTCGAGGCAGATGGTCAAGGAGGTCGAAAAGCATCTGCTTTCCACGTTGGCTACAAAATGGGCGACTGGGGAAATGACGAGGTTGCACTCTATTCTCGTCGCGATCTGGCGACAGGCCGCTCTGTCGTGCTCATTGCCGGAACAAGGAGGTGTCTGTGTGTCGCTCGTGTACTTGAGCTGCTCAACGGCGATCCCGGCACGACACCCTTCCATATCGCACTTCCCGTGCATGCTGCGACTCTGGAATTGACAGAGGACAATCGATGGGTAGTGGACTTCCAGACCCAATCACTAGAATCCTTGACCGGAGTAGCCACGCTCAGGCATTTGAACAGCGAGCCGCTTGCACCCGATCAATTGACATTCAACAAGAGTCTGCAGTCACGGAAGGTTTCACCAGAAATGTTGCGTTTGGATCGCAAAGGGTCCGCTATAATCTGGAGGCACTTGCAGCGCATCTTCAGCAGTATGTAGAGCTCTGCCCTCCAGGAAGTCTTCAACACCTCCCCACCAATGTCATACAAAATCTTCTCCAGACTTGCAAGCTCAAGATAGAACTCTCGAGACACCAATACGACCAAGTGACGCAGCTTCGAGGCCGACTACAGGCTCAGGCAGAGATAACGAAAACTCTGATGGCGCAATGGGACACGCGAATCTCCATCGACATTGCCCAGGCCACGCAGCAAGACAGCGAGATTATGCGCGGAATTGCGGCGATAACGATGATCTTCCTCCTGGCAATCTTCGTTGCGACGTTCTTCAGCATGGTATTCTTCCATGTGGGCGATGAAGTATCGGTGCATCTGCTTGTTGATAGCTGGGTTTGGCTATTCCCAGTCGTGACTGTCCCTATTACGGTGTTCATAGCCTCGTGGTACTTTACATGGTCATTCGCCACCCCGTGGCAACTTGTCAAACAGCGCTTGCAGATGGGGAAGCAGAGGTCCGCTTGAAGAGCAATGCTGGATTCATATTCTTCTCTTTGAACTTACGTGAAAGATACCTAGTACAGTAATGAAATTAGATTAGCAACGTTCCTTTCAAACAGTTTACAATTCACCAGCTCCTGATGTACCGTTGCTATTTACCAACCTGCGCAGTGTGCCGCTATCTATCAAACATGAGTACACTATAGAATGAAGCGGTCACGCCTTTACAGACGACTCTTTACACTAAGCGTATTACTTTCCGGTCGCCACATCTCATTCAGAAGTCGCGTGGCATTCACCATCTCGGGCTTCAGCTGGTCCAGTGCCGTGACACCCAATAGGCGCATGCCTAGCGAAAGCTCTTCAGCAAGTACTGTAGCAGTCAGTTCAGTCTTCTTATGAAATATTCGGGAAAAGCTTGCACCTACCATCAATACACCTTTCTACGCCTTGACTTCCGTACGCGGCCAGTGCATACATGAATGGTCGACCAACGCCGACGGCCGTCGCACCCAAACAGAGTGCTTTGAGTACGTCGCTTCCGTCTCGCAGTCCGCCATCAAGGAAGATTTCTAGCTTCCCAATGATCTCTGGGCAGTAGTTCCGTATTTCAAGCAGTGTCATGAGGGCGCTGGGGGCAGTATGCAATTGTCGACCGCCATGATTGCTCAGCAAAATACCGTCGCACCCGTACCCACACGCCAGCTTCGCATCTTCCGCGCATTGAATTCCTTTTAAAACAATAGGGCCACTCCACTCCTTTCGCATCCACTCCAAATCCTCCCACGTCGTATGCGGGCTCAACTGGCCACTGACCGGGCGTCCACCCATGGCAGGTGCAAAAGCATTCTCGCCGCCACTTTCCCACTCTACTGTGCCTTCCTCTGCTATTCCTACGGCGAGCGCTTCTTCAGCCTGGAGCACGCGATCCGCTGTGCGCTTGCCCAGAACGGGTGTGTCGACGGTCATCCAGAGCCCCTTGTAACCAGCCTCCTTAACGATCTGCATCAACTCGATAGCCTTTTTACGGTCTACTGGCATATAAAACTGGTAGAATAAGCGAGTCGGGCTCGCGCTGTTCAGCTTTTGTTGTTCATCGACCCAAGTCTGCATGATCTGCTGTGATGTCTTGGTCGACGCTGTGCTAACAACCATATGCGCGCCTTTACGCACTGCTCCGCGGACCATTTCAGGTTCCGCTTCTGGGTGTATCGCACCCAACGTACCCATTGGAGATATGTAGAACGGATATGGCGAACTGTGCCCGAAGATTGAGCGACGAGTGTCGACGTCGCCGACATTGCGCATGACCCGTGGACGGAAATAGATGCGTCCCCAGTCATCGAGGTTCGTTTTCAGTGATAGTCCGGTGTTTGCTGATGTACTGGCATACACAATGCTCTTGTGAGGCAAAACAGCCCTCGCCGCTCTCTCAAAATCGGGGCAAGAAACACAGAGACTGACATGCGGTATCTCCTTGTCGGTGTCGGCAGACTGCGCAGGGGCTGCGTTCACCTCTTTTGGTTTCCTCAGTTTGGCCAAGGTATTAGGATTTATCGCTCCAACCACGCTCCCTTCCGGAAGATCACGTACGTAGTCCTGTGAAGGGGAATGTTAGTTTACCATGTTCACTAGTGTTTTGCCCGCGGAGCAAACACACCAGTGGGTGGTATTTCTTGAACTCTTCGGTTGCATCCTATCGCAGTCAGCAACTCATTCAGCAATCGTCGCCAAATTTTTTTTACCGTGCCCGCTTGCTTCAAAATAATTGCTGCGCCTCCGGGGTGCTTGGAAAGAAAGTTCGTGACATCGTACACGTTAGAGTCTAGGACCTGAAGAGTGGGGGCGCAAGTCAGAAATCAGCCAATGGATTGATCATGGGAGCGTACAATCCAGCACGACTTCTTGCTGTCATGCTTTGCTATTTCTGCGCCATCTACCAGTGTCATCTTGCAACGCCTACCGAGCTTTTGAGGAAGTGGCGATGGAGTTGCACAGGTAGCCGACCAACCGTCGTTGAGGTATTTGAGGGGCGTGAAGGGACTAGCTGGATGTGGCGCAAGCGCCTTTTTCCAGCCGAGATCGGAGAGAACACCGTTGACGTTCCGACAACCTCGATACGAAACCGCCTTCCACAGTGAACTTCTTCACAATATGGCGTCATTGCAATTAAAGTGGTCTCGAGGGTCTCGGTTCCAGCTTTGCGTCGCGCGAGATGGCATTTACAATTGCGGTACCCATTTGCAGCTCCGCCTGCCGCCACCGAACTCCCAGCTATCAAAAATATGAGGCAAGATAGGTCCCGTACACCAGAAAAAAACCTTGCCCTAACAGTTTGTATAGGCCTGGGACCGTAGACGAGATTCTGATATTATGATTTTAACAGTCAGACATGCAATGGCTGATGAAGACTCATTGCCCTCCACAGGCGAAGAAGAGCCCTATCCTCGGTGGATGAGGCGTAGTGGAGATCGAGCCTACCATCAATCACAAGTCTCGGTGCTGTCTGAACAACTTCTTAGCTTACAGCAAGATAAATCGACAACTGAGTACCGAAGCATCCTCTTTCTTTTGGGCCGGGAACAACTTCGAATCCATAGTTGCTAACAATCAAGCCGATCAAGCCTCAGCAGTCGGCTTGGCTTAAGGCTTGCAATAAGTACCCTAAGGCTTAGCTTAATTAGCTTAATAGAGGTTTTAGGGTCAGCTTAATTAGAAAGCTTAATAAAAGCTTAATAGCTTAACAATTAGGTGCGTATTAGATAAGGTTTATATTAAAAATTACTCGCTATAGCTATCCCTATCCTAATTGCCTAGCTAGTATATTAAATCTAGCTCTTCGTCTATCGTACGTCGCGTGGGATTGTGGCCTTCGCCAAAGCTAGCCTTAAGCTACCTCCGTACGCACTATATAGCTACTAATAACTATAGTAAGATCGCGCGTCTTTAAGGCTTAAGAAGGTCGCTAAGCTCGCTAAACATGCGCTTACACTCACAACTAGAGGCTAGAATAGAGATAAGGTTAAGGGCCATGCAAGCGAGGTTCGGGTAGCGATTACGTAATCCTACCTAGTATTTAATAGGGTTATTAGTAGCTTTAGAACCTTTCTCTACTCTCGGCTCCTACTTCTTCTATCGCTAATATTTGTCTAGGTCGCTGTCATCAGCGGCCGCTACTACTACTATTACCTTAGGGTCGATAAGGG